AGCACCGCCCTGACTTGAGAGCAGTGCGCGCTGGCTCTGTCTAGTGCATCCTGCACGGAGCGCCCCTCAAGGTAGGCCATCAGCGGCAGATCTTGGGTAAATTGCCCTAGTTGTGGTTTGATATGATTGTTCAGAATGATGGAAAGGGCTTTGGAAACCGGATGAATTAAGGAGATGGGTCTGAGGGCTCCTGGCCCAGTCATAGGTTTATTTGGTTTGGGTATCAGGCAAAGGTCTGCCACGTGCCATTCCTCCGGTGGAGGGACGCTCATGTCTCGTAGCCATCCATTCAGGAGGGGAAGGTGCCAATCAGTCAACACATCTGCCGCTACTCGCCAGAGATGTGCAGGTGCCACATGGGGTGGTAGAGCCTTACTCCGGGAGAGGCTAGACAGGGCAGAGTGGAATTGACCCCAACTAACTTGAAAAGGAGTGCTGTCTAGCGTAGATGGTCGGGGGGGTGCCTATGGTAAAGATCCTGATAGAATGACTGAATGGCTGAGACTGTTGAAGAGATGTCCAGCGGCATGCCGTTCGGCGCACGGAGCTGCAGCTTGCGTCTAGGTTGTTTAGGGGCAAACAAACGTAGTACCCGAAATATACCTATATAACCTGAATGCTGCACCGCTTCCTGCAGCCGTCGGGACAGACGTTGACGTTGGCGTCGGAGCTGTTGGCAATGCTTGCGCAGCCCTCTCTGATGCTTCAGCAAGGCACTGTATTCTTTCCATCGTGCAACATAGTCCCGTAGGGTTCGACAGGGCAAGAGTCTGCCATGTTTGACTATAGCACGCAGTCGCCACAGCTCCGACACAGACCTGCTGCGGTGCTCGGGCGTCGGTGTCTGATGCAGAGCTGGCATGTTCCGGGTGGCTCTGGTCCACGCCAAGCGGAAAAGAGAGTCAGTACTCTCTGTCGGTCTGTCTAGCATGGCTGACTGCAGCTCTCGCCTAAAGGCTGGCTCCACCTCCGGATGCGTATCGCATACTTGCAGCACCTTGTGCCGTTGCATGAACGATGGTTTCGAAGTGCTATGCGGACGCTGAGGAAAGGATATACTGCCTATGAGGGCTAAATGGCGCATACCCGTAACGGGGATGAATGGCAGGCATCTAGGGGAGGTTTTGCGGGAGTCCATGTCCGCATGCTGTCGTCTGACTATGGCAAAGTCAATTTGGCTGCAGCCAGTGGGACCGGCTGGTAGAAACGTGCATGCTCGGCGACCTTGGGGACGCCAAGTGTTGAGAGCCACTAAATCGTAAGACCTCAGGATGTCCTGTGCAGTGGATGAATCCCCTGCATGTCCATTGGATCTAGTATAGATGCCTCTACCCACTAGAGAACCTTCCGTGCTAAGGTCTACATTGAGATCCCCCAGGAGCAACAGCTGGTTGCGTACCGGAAGTGCAGCAATGAGGGTGGACAGTCGTGCCCACAACTCCGCCCTTTTGGCGATAACGGAGTCCTTGTGCTGGGCGCTGTCTTTACATTGCTTCGGGGTAGACCAGGCATGTTGGTAGCAAACAACAACGTCAATGTTGGGTTTAGGATTGGAGGGGCTAGTTTCCAAACGGACGTGCATTAGTCTACCCGGGATGATCTCGCAGTATTGTATCTGAGTAGGTTGAAATAACTGTTTGGAGACAAGGATTAACAGTCCACCCTCAGGCTTGGTCGCGCCGCTGTGAAGGGCAGCGAATCTGCCACTGGTATATTCCAGAGGGCCTCGCCAATGGGTTTCCTGAACTGCCACCAATCCGATGTGTTGACCTTGCTCTGAGTTAAGCCAGGTATTGAGTTCTAGATTACGTTCCGCCGTCAGGCTGCCGGCGTTCCAAGACAGGAAGCTAATGCGGGAATTGACAGGTGCGCTGTCCGGCTGTGCAGTTCGGGACCTGGGGGGCCTAAGCGTGACTCCAAGCTGTGCAGCACTCAGCCGTTGGCCCCTGTATCTAGCACTGCCACTTCGAGATGCCCGTGCTTGGGCTCGGAGGAACGCCCGTTTTCTTGCAGGTTTAGGATGCCTATTGTTACATGCAAAAACACCGTTGGGGTTTGCCTCAGTAGGGGCATGAGGGATAACACTGTGATGCGCTTCTGGGGGTTTCTGGTGTGAATGGCCCCCAACCCTCGTGTCTACGGGAGATGGCACAGCTGTAATGACATGAAGCTGGAGGCTGAGTGGTAACCAGCTGAGCGGTTTCGCGCTGTAGCATACTATTCTCCCGCTCCTGGACTTGGGACCAGGACGGCCGCGTTCTGTGCATGGGGCTGTGGGCATGTGCGACCTTGCCACATCAAAAGTTTTACAAACGAACTGTACAAGAGAGCGGCATGCGACCACGGACTCCGACCTTAAAAAGTGAAGACAACGATGCAGGACGGGCGTCAAGGACTGCCTCAGAAGACGAAGAAGTCGGTGCTGGCGGCGTCGTCGAGGAAAAAGCCGTCGGCGTCGACGAGGAGAAGTGCGTCGAGGAGCTTGAAGCCGAAGACGGGTGGGGCGAAGGTGTCGCCCCAGATCCAGCCTGGACCTAGTGGCCGGGGCCTCTGGAGCTCGATGCTGGTTCATCTCCTGGCTGGGCATCCTGATCCTCCTCTTTAGGATACAAACGAAACCACTGCTGGAAGTCGCATCTGCTGGCGTCGTCAAGCAGGGGAAAAATCGACAGCAGCATCGGCACATGCAGTTGGGCTTGCACCTGCTCCACCAAGTAGTCCACGAGGTGGTCGGCGCTGTCCATATGCAGGCTCTGGCGTAAGCTTCGTCGCAGCAGTCGGGCCAGACATTGCAGAAGGATGTGCCGAGGAGGCAGGGACTTGTGGCCGGAAGCCACAACCCAGTCCACGTCATTCTCTGGCGTGCCAGCACTCCAGAGGCGGCCCAAAGTTTCGTAATCCCTGTCCAGCCTGGTGGCCGGGGTCTCCTCCATCTGAAGATAAACATAGGTGTATAGATCTCCAGGTGCTTGGTGCGCGCGGGACCTCCGCTGGGCCGAAAGTTTGGCGTTGCGGATTCTGCGGTCCGGGTGGCACATGCTGAGGTGACCGGCCAGGTAAAAGAAACAGAGTTCGCGGAGGGTGTGTGTTGCCAGCCGCTCCATGTAGAGCCCATGCTCAACGGGCAAGGCAGGGTGCAGCTGCCCGGTGCGATCAGGGCCAAATGAGGGCTCCGTCTCGGCAATAGCAGGAGCTCCACTGGCTGGCTCTCCTTCGGTCTCCGTGCTGGCGCAGTCGTCGCCCATGCTGATATCATCACTATCCAGTAAATCATCCTCATACTCCGCATCGCTGTCAATAGAGCTGGAAGCAGCTATCGATCTTGGCATGCCCCGGCTCGAAAGCCCCACAAGCAGGCAGCCAAAGGAAAGATATAAATCGTGACGCGTTAACCAGCAGGTAAGTCAGAGTCGCGGTCGCTCCCATGCAAAGGGCCCCGGAAAGATATGAAAAATTCTCGGGCCGAGACACTTACTACTACTACTACTACTACTACTACTACTACTACGACGTCGACGACGACTACATTATAATAATAGTAATTATAACAATGATAATACAAACGATCAGAAATTAACAGTACTAATTCTAATGATCGAATGTGGGCCGAGCTCGCTCTGCGTTTTGGCTGCACGTGGCCTTCGCGCACAGGTCCAACCAGCCAGCCGCGGAACATGTCATGCAGAGGGGGCTGCCAAAACCTCGCAGGTAGATTCTGAATGGCTTTGTCGAGCTGGGAGTTACCCACATCGTCGTCGCTGCAAATCGTGGGTTGGGTTATAAGGTGGCTCCATCTTGAAATCCCATTCAAGGCCTTCGAACCAGTCGAGAGATTTCAACATATCCAAGCCACCAGGACGCATCGGCAGGCGTTGTCCTGGGTCACGATTGCACAATGCCAGAATGACATCCCGGCATGCGGGCGACTTAAATGGTGGGATAAGCTCCGGCTGAACAACCTTCAGCATTCTGGCATGTCTCTGCGCCTTTCTCTCATCCGTGCCAAAACAAGGACTGCCAGCCATAAGCTCGAAGATTAAAATGCCGAGCGCCCACCAGTCAACCGCATGACTGTGTCCGCTTCTGCTGATTATCTCCGGCGCCATATATTCGAAAGAACCACAGAATGTGTAGGTCTTCTCCGCGGCCCCAACATGCTTGGCCAAGCCCAGGTCGCACACTTTCAGGCACCCATGTTCGTCAAGCACTAGATTCTCCGGCTTTAAGTCTCTGTGGACGATGCCGTTCCCGTGCAAATACTGGAAGGCGCAGACCACGCTCGCTGAATAAAAGGTTGCATGTATCTGGCTGCAGAAAAACTCCTTGTGCAGCTGATACGCCATCCGCAGATCACAAACTCCAGGCTCCATGACAAAATGGATGGCCTTCTTCTGCAGGTATGTCCCAAACAAACGGATAAAGAACGGCGACTGCAATTTCAGATGGATGTTCTTTTCTCGCATGATGTTGGCCTACGTCTGCGGCTCCAAGTGGCTCAGATCGATGCGCTTCACTGCGTAAGTCGGGCCGGCTTGGTGCTGCATGAGCGAAACGATACCCCAGCTGCCAGTTCCAAGCCGGCCGACTGCTGTGAAGCTCTGGGCATTCAGACTCTGCCCGGTGAGACTGGGGCGTGTGCGCACAAGAGATCCTGCAGCATGGCTGTCCCGTCCGATGCTGTCCGGAAGGTTGATGTTGATGGCGTTCCCAGTGCCACCTACGGCGTCGCAGCACTCCGCGTGCACGTCCTCCTGGACAGCCAGGTCGCTCATGTCCGCGAAGTTGGCAGGCTCTTCTGCAGCCCCATGTTCGGGAACTGCAGCATTGAACCAAAAAGCAGAGAAAGTGGCCAAGGAACCGAGGATCACACACGATAAAGTTGGGTCCAGCGAAACGCTGGCCAGCGCCAACGTAGTGCTAGGGGTGCCACCCAAGGCACCAGCCAAAGCGGAGCTGCATGACAAAAACGTCAACTCGGAAACCCAATGCCATGCAGATGTCTTTGGCTCAGACATGGCTTTGGAGCTGGAGAACTATCACATACACGGCTACATCTGAACCCCCAAAGCAATGGCTCAGGCTCTGCTGTTTTCCAAATTTGACATACACTACTATGTATATATAATATAGGGTACTAGAGCCCCTAGGGCCCTACATAGCAGGTACCTGGGAAGGTAGGTTGATTTCTAATATCTATACAGTCTATACATCTATAGACGTGTGTGGAGTCTGCTCAATCCCGCAGAAGGCTTGCAAGCTTGAGCTCCGAGCCGCAGACCATCAACAAGCCCTGCGATTCTTTACAGGGCCGTCAGAAAGCATGATTGAAAATTGGAAGCTCTAGACTCTGGAACTCTTCGTCTTGCACAACGACCCAAGTCAATCAACAATTGGGAAACTGCCGTGTGCCCAGAAGAGTCCAATGCCCATTTCACTGGCAGCTTCAACTGTCTGTCGATAGACTCATGGCAGCGGCCAGGCTCTGCTCGCGACTACGACTTGCCGTTTTGGCCATGAGCCAAGCAGCTTCTGGATCACCTGGCCAGGGACATTTGGCAAGTTTATGCCGCTGCAGCATGCTGAGCCCTGATCACGAGTCTCTGCCGTCCCTGCTTTCTCTTGGGGTGAACACAGGCTCGTGGCATGCCAAGCCGCAGGCTCCTCTTGCACTGGGAGACCTGCTTGGCCCTTCGCCGCAGTTGACCCCAAAGGCTGTTCGCCGCTTGTCGGCTGCTGGGGAATGTCTTCTAAGAATCTCGCAAAAGCGGTGAGAAGTCATTGAAGTCATGACACAATGCAGGAAGAGGCCCAGGAAGAGGCGCTTGAGGCTTCCTCGATGCCCAGCTGCTCTTGGTAAGCCAATAACTGCTCCTGCAACCAGACACATGCACCCGACTGATCCTCTGCTATCGCAGCCAGCTGCGACACTGGACGAAAGCAAGCGGCTGCATCTGCGCGCAAATGAACATTCGATCAGAAAGGCCTTCAGCTTGTCTGCAGGATGTACAATAGGTCTGCGATTCTGTACCTTGTGCAGCAAAGCAAGCGGCTGCCCAACTGAATCTCCCACCATGTGTCCGAGCCGTCGACATGCTGAAGAGCCTGCGTCAGACTCCAGCCCCTGCGAGCTGCTGCAGCGGAAGAAAGGAGCTGAACCATGATCGTGGGCGGTGAATCACTTGAAATCCATGACATCTTTGAAGGTATAACGGCCCACTGCCCTGAAGGTATGCTTGGTCTCTTCAAGCCCTTGTTGAGCTGATTTTGGCCTCCGAGTACCACCGACCAAATGCAAGAGTCAAACTCCCGACTTGTGACTTATTTACACTGATTCGGAATTAGAATGCTTGCTCGTGTTCGGCGCCGCAGCTGCAAGGTGGGATGTGCCTGAGACATGCGCGCACGCAACTAACAAGGCCTCGTTTCCATCAGCCATGCCATGACAACGCTCGCCTGTCCCCAGTCAGCAACTCAGCAAAGCTTATCTTTCGATCGGCGTTTTGCCAAGTCGCGGAGCGATTGACGCCGAGAGCGCAATGCACCAAAACACGTGAGGACGGGTCCTTGAAGGCGGCCTGCAGACGGCGACGCAGACTGCGACTGAGGATCGCAGTGGCTCGCAACTCGCAAGGTCTGCCGCCTAGCGGGCCGAGCGCGCCTCCAAGAAGTCTTTACATCGCCAGTAGGCACCCGAAGGACGACAGTCGGGATTTTCCTTCCTGGCCGCCTCCAGCGCACAGTGTCTAGGTCTAGGATTGGGCAGCTCGGGCCCGGCGTGCCTCAAATTCTTCTGCTGTTTGCACCGGACCAAAGATATCATCCTAGAAGGAAGCAGCAACTGGCACCAACCAACACTCGGCTGGTCAGGAGTCCGCTCATCTGGAGTCATCTCTCGGAAGACTGGGCTGTGCACAAATCCGTCGTCTGCCATCGGCACCTCAACCCAGAGCAGCTGAGAGCTCAGAAATCCGTAGTCTTGGAGGGCAACTGGGGCCCGCACCCACTCGGCCAGCAGCTTGCCATGACGGCCGGGAGCTAACACGTAAAGGTCCGATACGTTCAGCACGTGGGTGATGCCAAGGTCGTTTGCCTCGGACGCCAGACACCCATCTACCGCATGGGCCCGCTGGGCCCTGGCCCAGCATCGCCCGACCCTCGCACCTTCGCCAGGCCGAGCGCAGCGTTGGCGCCACCCAGGTACAAGGAGCCGGGAGAAATCTCCTCAAAGCACAGAGCACGCACAGCACACCGCAAAGCACAGCAAACAACTGCGATGCCACATAATGCCGCGGTTCCGAGACTTCAGTCGAAACTTCATGGTGCAGCTGCTTGGCTTGTATGGCTGCCTCTGCGGCGGCCAGGTGCCCACAAGGCTCCACGCCACTGGTCCGAAAGTATTTGAACATCATGGCTCCGGAAGCTAAGTGCTGGGGTAATGCCCCAAATCTGGAGATCTCGCCTTGCGCTGACAGCCGAGGCCGAGGTAACTTACGCGAAGCTGCGAAGCTTGCCGATGTGAGTTGACAGTGGCTTAGCCCCAAGCACATGTGCCATCATGTGCCATCTGCTGCTTGGACCCCCCGGCTGCGTGCCAAAGGTTCCGGTACAAGCCCACAACACATGTTGCCAAGCATGGTCAAAGCGGCGACAATGGGCGTCTAAGAGGGCGCCTTCTCACTTTCTTCTGCTTCTTGAGAGCTGGACACAGGAGCAGACCACGAGGCAGCGACACAGGGACTCGTCTCACCTAGCCTCCTGTCGCCGAGACCATCTTTGATTCTTCCTCGGGCCTGGGATCGGAACATAAATACGGAGGAGCGAAAGGTCCTGAACTAAGATACGTGCGACAGCCATTTCGCCGGCTGGAAGGTCATGTACCCCTTTCTGAAGGTTTTGGCTGGAACCTGTCGAAGATGCCGTGAATCCGTGATGATCCAGATGAAACTTGTGCAGGGCCTCCTTCTTGCCAGGCAGCTGAAAGGACTTGAGAAGCAAAACCTGAAACTGGCTGGAGTCGCTCTTGGCTTGCTTTATGGTGATGTTTGGACGCCGAACAACTTGGGTGCGTGCATTCTCTGGGTCCATTGCTGGCCTCACGCCGACAACAGGCTCAGAGCCGTCAACGGCCTTTGCGAAAGGCGGAAGTCAAAGAATGACAAGTGAACGAGATGTCAACGAGTCACAAATGGCTTCTACGTTCGCTGGAGCTCAGCTGTCGAGCACGGTGGGAGCTACCAAAGACTGCGGACGGTGAGGCTCTGCCTTTCAGGACACCATGGGCCGCGGCGGGCATAAACAGGAGCTCCTGTAGAGGTGCATCTGGACCTTGGCTCACGCCATCTCACGCCGGCGCGATCCAATCGCTTGCGTGTGGCGCGCAAACGTGCTAGGCGCAGCTATGCAGCATGCTGCAGCAATCCCATGCAGCCATTGTGAAGCAGTAGTGGAGACATCAGTACCCTGTTGTTTCCGGCTGCATGCGGTCTAACCAGAGTTGCCGGCTGGCCGAGGTGGCAAAAGCCGAAAAGGGGACCTAACAGGTGCCGTGCATCCGGGTCCGTAGCAGTGCGAATTTCGAGCTGCAAGGGGGATGTCCAGGCCAAGCTTCCGGCGACTTCTGCGCCTGCTACTTTGACCCGGACGCCTCCAACAGCCACAAAGGCCCCAAGGGCCCATGGATGCCGCATCTGCCGCCCTTGCCCAAAGGCCTTGAGGCGGAGCTTTGGAGCCCGAGCAGGCGATCGCCAGCGTGGTGCCGGGCCTGGAGCCAAAACATGGGCCAACTTTGAGACGAAAGGAATCCAAACAAAAACGGAGAGCCGAGGCACCATCCGGTGAAGCCCCGCACCTGCTCACGGGCTACAGGGGAACTGCTCTTCATGCGCTGGCCCACAAGTTTGGAAACTGCAATCACCAGTTTCGCAGCTGGGACTCCCCTCTCCCCACTCCTCAAATGTTTAAATGCCCCCTCGTCGTTCAGATTGTTTATAAGCATACTCGCTACTGCAAGCAAGCGAGTCATCGAGCCCTTGCATCTGAGATCAAGAGGTTCAGCTTGTGGTCACTGTGCTGGACGAGGGCCTTGTCTCGCATCTGGAGAGCCGTCTCGTTGTGTGGCCAGAGTTTGCCCTCATCTTTCGAGATGAGCGGGGCCTGATCGGACGACACACACGATCATGACCAGGACGAAGAAGAAGAGGAGAACAGATGACGACAGGTGTGATATCGACATCGCGGCTCGGCCCTCGTGAAGATTCGGATGTGGTGATGATTCGGTCTTCCTGGAAACCTCTCATCCTTCTGATGTTTCAGAGCTGCGGCTGCCTTTTCCACAAGGCGTTCATCTTGAACGGCCGCGGTTTCCATCGTGACCTCTGAAGAACCAACAGCCGAATCGCTCGCCGTGTGACTTTGGCGTCTGCGCGCCTCGCCAGCGAGGATTTTTGGCAGCACCTGTGGCCGCAGCTGCGTGCCAGAGTGGGCTTCGACATGACCCGAGCACTGCCTTCCGCCCGCCTCCACCAGGAGGTCGCCACCCCACCTGAGAAAAAAAGGAGCACTCTGAGTCCGTTCCTGGCTTTGGCGGGATCTTAAGCCCAGGCCGGAAGAGCTTGTCAAGCAGCTCTGGAGAAGTCTCAGAGCCTTTGCAGCGAAGCCCTGTCTTGACTTCATCCTTCGCGAGCTTGCGAGTCTCCAGCCATCGAGGGCCATTTTCTCCTGGACGATGATGGGCCTTCGGCTTGCCACAGCCGCAGCCACTCGAAACGAAGAGAACGGGAAGCCGCAGATCCAGGGCCCGCTCCCAGCATCCATTTTCGCCACAGTGTACAAGATCTGATCAGAGCAGAGGTAGCTACGGCAGTCCAGGCTTCCTGCGCGTGTCCCCCTTTCTCCCACGGCGTGCCGTGATTCCCGTCTCCGTATCGCCAGCCACCAGGCAGCGCTGCACGGGCGAAGCGCCTGCAAGCACAATCGGCAATCCACCGCCCGCAACTTGCACTTGGGGTTGATGGCCTCGCCATCGTGGCAGCAGTGACGGGTGGAGGTTGATGGTGCCCAAACGCGGTGCCTAAGACGACCAGCCACGTCACGCGTCACGATCTGCACCACTGTCAGCAAAGGCCATGGGCACCTCTAGAAACCGCCGCGGCAAATATTCCCCATACCTGTCACAAGCTGAAACCAAAGTCTCCCATGCGCAGGCGCTCTCCCACGCACTGCAGTAACCAATGCGCAGTGATCTGCCACACAGCCGGGCACGCGGCAGTCACGCAGACCTCGACCCATGCACCGATTTTAAGGACTGCTGGGGCGATCCAATTCGAATTATCTCCGAGACTGCAGCATCAGGCTTCAAATCTTCTAGTTTCTCCAAGAACGCCTCATCCTCAGTGGTCGATCTGGGGGTCTGCCCCTTCAGTCCCCACCACGAACGACGCTCAGAGTCCGAGTCTCAGCCCTCTGAGGGTGTCACTCTTGCTGATGGCGGCGTCAGGATGTTGGAGACCTTTGCAAGGACCCAGAGCAGCACAGTAAGGGCAGTGCAGTCATCACACCGCTCCACTGGATGCACCCCGAGATCTTCAGCGAGCTCATGCACGGGAGTTTTGGCGATGACCTGCGGTCGCCGCCCGTTCGTGCCCGTCTCTGTCAGCACAAGGTCGCAAGCCTTCTTGACGCGCTTCGGCGGACGAGAAACCACGGCACAGACCTGATTCCACGCCACCGGTGCTCGTTAAGACATCACTTCTGGGGCGCATCGCCGGCCTCGAAATCTGCCGAGGCCTGGCTGGCATTCCAGAGAGACTGCAGCACCACCTTCAACAGACAGGGTGAGAATCTTTGATCCGGCAATAGAAACGATGCCTCCACGCAGTCGGGCGAACCCAGGAAGACTATGCGGCCAGGCGAGCCTGCGGCATTCTATCTTGTCACAAACAAACAGTCTCGGTCTCCGACTTCACAGTGGAAACCCTCGTCAGCCTTCAGCAAATCTGGTGCAGCGCTGGCCGCGACCACGCTGCAATCTGTCTGGGGCTGGGGCAAAACGGGCAGCAGAGGTTGGAACCACCTGCTCAACCTTGACCCTACGGAATGTACCACCGATAACAACAGCGTGCAGCGGAACAAGCAGCAAGTACCATTTACGGAAACGCATGTATGACCGTACAACACAGCAAATCGGTATGAAGTTAAGTCTGTGTCAATTGCGCTGCTGATGGGATAGCAACCTAGCAGCCATTCACCCCATGGTCGGCAACGAAGGGCGCAACAATTCGGACGTCGTCCGACCGTAAACATCCTGCAGTGAACAAGCATCTGGAGCAAGGTCCTCAGAGAGAAGATTAGCTGTCCGGCAGTCATTGCTGCAAGCAGCTCTGCCAATTTGCTCGGAGCAATGATCATCCGCGGACGCTTAGCCAACTCGACAAGGGCGGGGTCCAAGATGGTTCAAGGCGGGGCTATGCTGCGTATACAATCGAGCAGTGCCTTCGATGTGAGGCGCCCAGACCAATGCCTTGGCCGAGGGCGACGAACACGCCCAAAGCTGCAATTTCGGCTCTTCATCTCTGACTCAGAGAGCGCGGCCACGGTGGGCACACCACCCTATTGGAACCTGGGCTCACAACTTCTCTAGGCTCTCACCACTCTCACCCTCATGCTAGAACTCTCAGACCCGGGCCACCTCGCAGAAGCACATAACAGCCAGGACAGCAATCGCTGCTTGGACCTGGCTACCAGCATTCCACGAAATCGCGACCAGCACTGCAGCCTGCCTTTGCCGAGCTCCGTTTCTGTCCCGCCATGCCGATCTTGGTCTGGCAGCGTCTAGCTGCCAGATAGAGCCATCGGCCGTAAGCTGTTTCCGTTAATTCTAAGAGATTTTGTAATCGCCATAAAATGAATGCTTGCCGTTATGCGGCTGCGTTTTCCTCGACCTGCAATGCTCCTTTGGGACCAGGCGAGCATAGCTTCTAGAGAGGCCTATCGTGATCGCCCTTCGCGGCTGTCCGGGCCACTTTCGAGCCCTCCATGCTGCCTGTCTTCAAGCGAGTTCCGGAGGCACAGTCCAAGCACAGCTGCTCGCTTCAAGTGACGCGGAGAGGAGGAAGTGGGCAATGAGATGCTGAATCCCTGGCCCGCCCCCATCTCCACAGATGTTGTGTTGCTCGAGCATGATTGTTGTCCAGTCTCAGCTCTGGTATCCAGGATCCACCTGCCCCGCAGCCTCCGCTCTCAGTTCCCCTGTTTCGGGGTCTTGGTGCCAGCAATAGCCTGCCGACGGGCATCAGTGGGAGAGCAAACGAGAGGAGAGGAGTGGCGGAGTTGAGAGGATAGGAGAGAAACACAAGGGAGGAGTGGAGAGGTGCAGAGACAAGAGAGAAGAGATGCGACTGTGTTCACACTCGATACACATACTGGGTCCTAAGGTTTATTTCGGTGCCGTTATACATAATCACACTCTGGGTGCAAACGATGGACCTGCCTGGCGCTTTTGTATGCGTCGGTGTGCGGTCACTATTGCTGGGCCCGGACCTCACCAGACCTCCATCTTTGACCCTGCACTACTCCATCAAGCACTGTGTTGCCGAAGATGGTAAACACGTGGATGTAACTTTTGATGGGTCATGCCGGTGCAGGATTCCAAGCTTTGCTTCACATCCACTATGGAGGCCTACGCCCAGCTGCTACTACCACCGCCACGTGACCTCATCCTGTTGCTAATATTCCAGCTGCTACCATATATTTATCATCGTCAACCGCATTGAAAATTGAATCATCGTGGTGATCATAATCATCGTCTTCTTCTTTGTCATTCTCGTCAGAATTGTCAATGTCGGAAACCTGACGACGACTTATCACAATTGACACCCGACGCCTCTCGAAGCCCGGCAAAGTTGTGTAGAACGTAATAAAGCCGGAAGCCCGAACTCTGAACCCTCATACTTGAATCCCCAAAACGCCTCACCCTTAACCCGGACT